AAAAAAAAACAATAAACTAGTTCAACAAATTAAGAACATTCGTTCGAATATGAGATATCGATTATTTATTCTCTTTCAATTTTATACTAGATATGACAATGTAGAAAAATTTCTAAGTACTTTCAATTAGTGTTATTGTATTCATCAATTATGATAATCTTTAAAATAATATCTTAATAATACTTTCTTCTCAAAGGATCTCATGGAGTTTGATGATTCATTTTCATTATTTAAAAATGCGAAAACCTCGGATTTAAATCCGAGTGTTATGTGTACTTCAAAAAGTGAACAGGTATATTCACTTTGTTTTTTATCATCTGAGACATATCTAGGCAATTTGCTTTCTGGATGCAATTTTTGTGCATTTTGAGACCTTTTTCAGGCGATGTTTTGTTAGAAAGCTACTATTTGGTTCAAAACTAATATCAGATTCGGAATTAGCGTTAAAAACTGAGTCGATTTATATATGTTGTGAATAATTCTGAGAAAAAATTTTTTTTTTGAAAAAATCCCTGTACACCCCCTCAGGGATGGTCTGGTCAATAATGATAATTTTTTCGATAACTCAGCCATTTCTTGACGGATCCTTCTCATCTTCGAACTCGACCGAGACATTGATGAGACTGAACTGTGGAGAAAATTTCATCACGATCTGACTCTCCTTTCGAAAGTTATCGTGTAAACGGTCGGCCGGACGGATACACTGACAGATTCTATAGTGTACTCACTTTTTGAGTACACAATAACAAAACTCCTTCCTGCAATGGAACTTCTAAATAGAAGTCTATAAGCTAGAAAAAATATTTCTGATTTATAGGGATATTTTACTGAGTAATGACACATAAAAATTTTTAAAAGGACGATTGAGTATTGATAAAATATTTTCAGTACGCAACACATGGAAATTAAGCTATTCTACAGGAATACTTTTGCAAGTCGACAATGAGCTCGTACTGTTCGGAAACATGTTATATGGGAAATATAGAAAATTCGATAGTTTTACATTGGTATTCACTTGATCTGTAGCACTGCTTTGCACATACTAAAATATCATATAGTTCTAAGAAATGGATCATTTTTAGATATGGAGAAAGTAACAATGAAAACTATTGATTACTTATATGTTACTCGATGTTCTAGAAAATCACATATATATATATTGTCTATTTCTTATATAAATTTTTTAAGTTTAATCAAATAAAAATCTTACACAGTAAATAGAGGCATTGTTGCTTTGACTGTATGAGCATATGAAACAGGTACTTTCCAAAGACTAACATGAGATGATAATTGTGCAAGAAATTTGCCTACTGATAAAGGAATAATAATTTTGAAATAATAAATTCGATTTTGATAAAGATAATCAGGCGATGGAACTTTCCATATACTGAATAACAAAATTTGCATAAATTAATATGAATATATGTATATATATATATACATACCGAAGAAGTGGAATACTTAAAATCCAAACACTAAAAAGTTGTACAAGTGTAACTGTTAATGGAAATGGAAATTCATTAAGTAATTCTTTTACAATAACATTGCCTGCTGCTGATACACCTAATCAAATTAAAATAAACTATATATTAAAAAGAATACGATAAGATTGAATAATTTACTTACCATACCAAACTAAACATAGACTAACTATTTGAAGACCTTCCAAAAGTAATGAATCTCGATGTTTAATCATTCTGATTATATTCTAATTAATTAATAAATTATTTTGACTATAATTTTCTGTATTTGCTTAATCATGTTTCAAATTTGTTAATAAATAAAAATAAAAAATAATTTGAGATCTTTATATATATATATATGTATCTAAAGATGTTAAATAAGTAAATAAATAAATATTAACATAAGAGAAAACTATCATTGTAGTTGTCTATTCGTTACGAATATCAATAACGTGACAAAAACTTATAAATGTCATGACAATAATAAGAATATGACGACAAAATAAAACCAATAGTAGAACAACTAAAAGGGGAAAGTGTGTACGTGTACATGATTGATTCCGTCTTTTTTTTTTCTTTCTAAACGATAATATAGGCTTTTGTTCTTCTTTGGTTTATGGTTTCACCATACATATCGATAGATGTCCTAAGCAACAAATAAAATACAATTTGTAAAAATTGTCTTAGATGGTTGAGATAAAAAATTTTGCTTTCGTCATTCACTATCTATGTTCTTTCCATCAAATTTGTTGGATGAAAAACCATAGATCAGAAAATGGAAAATTTCAGATTTTGATCAACTGTTTTTCTTCTCATTTTTCATGACAGAGAGCATATCAGAAAAAGCGTATCCTACAACACACTCAAACTATATAATTGATCGTTATTCATGAGGAAGATCTGATCTAGTAATGAAATTCGTCATGATTTTACATTACTATCTATGATAGCTAGAAGAGTATATATCGCACTAGCGACTATCGCTTCCATAGCAAGATTATATAGTTGAGCAGGGAAATGCCAAGTTGCTTTTGAATCGAGACGATGTTCATTTGATGAGTCATAGAAAAGTTTGATTTTCCTAACTTTCATTTTTGAGATACTAAAATTTTAACAAAAAAAACTGTAGTTACATGAAAAATCGATGTTCGACTATAAATTTTGTACAAATAAAGTTCATTAAATGAGTTTAGTCGATTCTGAAAATTGAAACTTTTCTAATATCTTGAAATATTGAATATTCGAAATTTTCTTATACATTTACATTTCTAGAAAAATGAAATACTAATAGCACAGATTCAAAATCATTTACATTGCATTTTTTCCATCGATTCTATTGTACAGAAATTTATTTTATATAATAAGTAATAAAAAAGTTTAATTCTTATAAAGCTGACTTCTATTTTGTTATTCTTTGAAAAGAATTTCACACGAAACGTAAAGACGAACGAACACTGACATATCCTGCTATCAACATCATAAATATGAACGTTGTACAACTTTTCAGAAGGTCAAATTTAACATGAATACAATTGAATCTCTATATAAGATTATTTAAATAGTAACAAAATCAAATAAATACAAATGTTTTCAAATGTCGACATGATTATTCAAGTATACGACAGTACAAATTTATTGTAATTTAATATTGGTTATAGTGGCGGAACTAGGATTTTGCGGTATGCTGGATCTCAGCTTTAGAGTATGGGACCCAGTTGAAATTTATGGACGGTTGATATTGGCCTCAAATGATGAGTTTCTATCCAAAGATTTTTGCGAT